GCAGAGGTTGCAGTGAGCTGAGATAGCGCCATTGCAGTCCAGCCTGGGCAACAAGAGCGAAACTCCATCTCAAAGAAAAAAAAAATCCTTTATGGTTTATTTTTCTACTTTTGTATGCTCAATCAGACTAAAATTCTGCACCGATAACCAATCATGCAAAATCAGAAAATAAAAACAAGATAAAAATGAGGGTTTTGAAAGATTTCAAGTGAATTAACACTATTCTATAGGAAAGTACAGTCAGCACTCTTCAGAATAAAATTAACCAAAAGCAGAGCTAAAGTCCTTGAAAACATATAGGAAGTTCTTGGGGTCAAGATACTATTATAGGATATAAATATTATATATATGAATATATGAATATTATACATATGAAGAAAAGAGACCAGAAAGCTATTCAGAAAGACAGGTATAGCGTGAGTTTCTCATTTTATCCTAAAGGACCACAAATAAAGTGGCAATAACTTCTACTGGTATTTAATACTATTAGAAGAACTTTCTCGACCCGGTATGGTGGCTCATGCCTGTAATGCCAGCACTTTGTGAGGCCAAGGTGGGAGGATCACCTGAGGTGAGGTATTCAAGACCAGCCTGGTCAACATGGTGAAACCACATCTCTACTAAAAATACCAAAAACAAATCCCAGGTGTGGTGGGACATGCCTGCAGTCCTAGCTACTCGGGAGGCTGAGGCAGGAGAATCGGTTGAACTTGGGAGGCAGAGGTTGCAGTGAACTGAGATCACGCCACTGCACTCCAGGCTTGGGGACAAGAGCAAAACTTTGCCTAAACCTAAAATACAATAAAATAAAAAAAAAAAAAAAAAAAAAAAAAAAAATTTTCAGCACCTATAACTAGAAGATATAGCAAGCTTTGTCAATTATGGTAGGTGTAAAAGAAAAAAAAAAGGAAACAAAAAACTCAGTAATAATGAAAAGTATTCCTGCATCAATGTATTATAGAATCTTAAACTGAAAAGATCACTAGTCCAACTCTTTAATTTCACAGATGAGCAACAACAACAACAAAAACCAAGACCTAGACCTGGCACTAAATTTCATGTCTGCTTTACATTTTACTTTAACGATAAACAAATATCATTCTGACAGCCTGACACTAATTTCATAGCTGAATTTAAATGAATAAAGGATATAAAAAGTAAAGAATTGGCTTTCTAATTAAAAGCCTAAATACTTGAGTTTTTTTGAGACAGAGTTTTGCTCTTGTCACCCAGGCTGGAGTGCAATGGTGGGATCTCAACTCACTGCAACCTCCACCTCCCGAGTTCAAGCGATTCTCCTGCCTCAGCCTCCCAAAGTAGCTGCGATTACAGGCGCCCGCCACTATGCCCAGGTAATTTTTTTGTATTTTTAGTTGAGACGGGGTTTCACCATGTTGGCCAGGCTGGTCTTGAACTCCTGACCTCAGGTGATCCACCTGACTCGGCCTCCCAAAGTGCTGGGACTACAGGTGTGAGCCACCACGCATGGCCACCTCAATACTTGTTTTAAAAATCCACTGCAAAATGAGCATACTGGAAAAAACAGAGCCACTAATCTCAAAGGACATCTCACCTCAATCTCCACGGACATCTCACCTCAATCTCCACGGTCACCACAGGAAAACAAGAGAATTTTCCAGAACATGGCTTCAAAAAACCTGTACTACTTCTTACTGCTCTAATATCTGTTTCAATCATAGTCTACTAACGAAAATAAAATTACAAAAAGAACTCATTCTCTCTTTAGTCCATTCACAGTTTAATATCACATAAGTGTGCGTGTGTGTGTGTGTGTAAACAAAAACAATCATTTTCAATTAGTGGCAGAGTTTGTATAAATAGCTCTAAGATTCAAATGGGAGAAAAAAGGTAGGTCTCAGAGAGCCTAACTTTTCAACTTGCAAAGCTTAAATATAGTAGTTACTTAACATGGCCTAACAGAAAAATACAACGCCTGTTTGGGGAGAGTAATATTTGCCAAGAAAAAGTGACTCTACAGATAATATTTTTTTTTCCTAAGGTATTATGAAGAAAAGAAATGTTGGTTAAAATGTAACATAAAGGAAGGCAGAGTTTTAATATCATTAATGGTCCAGAAAGTCTCATTAAATATTAAGTCCTTTAACATTAATGTACATACTCAAAAATGATCTGGGAACCCCAAATCCTGCTATACTTAAAGTAGACCACACTGAAGACAATGCTGGATTCAGAAAAAAAAAAATCTCCCAATGGTGTTCTACTTCCCTTTTTTAGGTAACAGATCTCTCATCCTCTTGGCCACAAGGTTTGTTGTTCCACTCTTTCCCCCTGTGAGATTTTCCTATCTGGCTAGCTAAGGGGACTCCTTTTTTGTCTCTGCTACTGAGACCATTAAATTGCATGGAGGAAAGGCAGAGGAAGAAAAGTGAGGAAGGAGAAGGAAAGGAAAGGGAGTGGACAAGGAGAATCGAAGGAAGGGGGGATAATTTATAGTAAGTGAATTCCTAAATCTTGCTGTTAATGAACTCTGCCCCAACCTTCCTCTTCCTGCTATTTGGATTTGTGAACCAAGACATGACCCTTTTTAAAGTCAAGATGGGTTTCTAGCACTTGTAACAGAAGTCATGACTAATATAGTGCTATAATGGGCATGCTTAACCAGAAGCAAAAGAGAGTTGGTTCTATTATTGATATTACTGAATAGCCAAGTAAACTTCATTAGGTTACTTCTCTGAGTCTCAGTTTCCTCATCAATAATGAATATTAGACACATTTAAGATTAAGAGAATATTTTATACATGTGTTTTTCTAAACTTCAGAAAATATATTTGCTCTTCTAAACTTGCCTATTATAATATCAGTTCTTAAATATGTAGAACAGTATTTTGAATGCTAGAAAGTTTATAGCAAAATTAAGTTTCTCTAAAACAAAAGTAGGCATTTTTTAAGCATACCAAAACTTACAGGTAGGTCATATTTTCACTGGTTATTATATTATCAGTCTATGGTCTGACCTCAATTTTTTCTTCTAAACATTAAGAAACCTAACAGGTGAAGATACAAGTTCAACTGTAGTTTGTGGTAACATGCCAATTAACTCTGACTTGAAATTTTAGCCACAAGAAGAAAATAATTAAAATTTTTAAAATTTTAGAATTACTAGCATTAGATTGGTTTGCAAGTCAATTTTTCAAACAAACATTTATAAAGAAGAATACCTTACTTTGTAATGGATTGACAAAAAGCTGCCATCTCCTCATTCTGTACTTCAACTTCCTGAAGAAGAGAACTTGAAGCTGGCAAACTACTGGTCCCATTTGGGTCTTTCTGTAATTAAAAGTGTTTTTATCTTAAAAGTGGAAGATGCACAAAATGCTACACAGCAGCACAGCACAAACACATTTTAATGAAAATATGTACAAAGCTATGGAGTTAAAAAAATATATCAATAACAAACATTTAAATTGTATATTTCTATCTTTGTAAAAGTAATGTCAATTAAGCCTTATTTTAGTTCATTGGTTTTACTTGCTTAGTAGTAGAAACAGGCAGTACTGGTCAGAATGGAATGCTAAAAACCTTTCTATTCAAAATATTCCTAAAATAAACACTTCAGAAATTTTATAGCTAAATGAAATTAAAAGATTACTCTGTTTTAAGAAAATGAAGAGATCAAGCCCATTTGGTACTCTTCTAATAAGCCAGAAATTCTATATATTCAAGTAGGCCCCAAATTCCAAGAAAGCAGATGGTTCTTTACGTAAGAGAGAATGGGCATTTTCTAGGTTGATAAACTTATACAAACATACTCACAGTCTCTCAAAAATTAAGTTTACATCTCGTCAAAAACTGTTTACAACTTTTAGGGAGACCAATTCACCACCCAAGCATAGCCAAACAGCAGGGTCCACTAAGAGTGTTTTGATACTACATGAAAGTATTTGATTTGGTGCAAATTTCAAATATAAATTTCCTTTAAAATTAGAACTGGAACATTCTCAATTCAAAATTCAGTGAGAACGAAGTGCAAACCTTTCAAGAGCTGTAACAGATTTCAGTGACCATGGCGCACACACACACAAAATTTTTTTTTTGAGACAAGTACTCATTCTGTCGCCCAGGCGAGTGCAGTCATGTGATTATGGCTCACTGCAGCCTTGACCTCCCGAAGTCAGGTGATCCACCTCAGCCTCCCAAGTAGCTGGGACTACAGGCATGGGCCACCCTACCTGGCTAATTTTTGTATTTTCTGTAGATATGGGGTTTTGCCATGTTGCCCAGGCTGGCCTCAATCTCCTGGGCTAAAGCAATCTGCCTGCCTCAGCACTCAAGATGATTCTGTGTCAGAAAATTAAACTGAGAATTTAGGGCAACAATTCCTTTAAGAGTTTCCTTCTTTTAATATATGTCAGAGCCCTTTCTGCTAGAATATGATATACACATTTGGAGAAAAAAATAAATGCCTTGAGTTCTACAAAACCACAACTAAAAGTAACAAGTCTCTTGGGAAAAGAGAGTTAAGGCGAACTACTGAATTATCAATGTAGCCAAGTATGGTATTGCATACTTGTAGTCCCAGGTACCCGGGAGGCTAAATTAAGAGGGTCACTGGAGCCCAGAAGTTTGAGGCCAGCCCAGGCAACACAGTAAGACCCCATCTCTAAAAATAAAAATAAATTTTTGTATCAATATAACTCTATAATCAAGGCCCTAACTAAAACAATAACATGTCCTTATAAAAATACTAGCACAGCTAAATGTCTGCTCCCATTTGCACCAAGCATTACATACTTTGAAGCCTAAAACTCTGTGGCTCTTGTTTCTCATTCGAGATATGAGTTCTTTAGGGCATATGCTTCTAGTCAACACTAATTACAATGAAGTTAAAATTACAGTACCACTGTGGGAAGCCAAAGCAGGTAGATCACCTGAGGTCAGGATTTCGAGACCAGCCTGGCCAACATGGCGAAACCTCATCTCTACCAAAAATACAAAAATTAGCTGGGTGTGGTGACAGGTCCCTGTAATCCCAGCTACTCGAGAGGCTGGGGCAGGAGAATCACTTGAACTTGGGAGGCAGAGGTTGCAGTGAGCCAAGATAGCGCCACTGCACTCCAGCCTGGGCAACAAGAGCAAAATTCTGTCTCAAAAAGTTCTACAGAAGGCTTAGTGTTTTCCTAATATCTTCATATAGTGCTAGAGGTTTCTCTTAGGTTGTAGGAAGTTTGTTTCTGATTATTTCAAAAAAGTTAATATGTTGGGAAAGATTATGTCTGAACTATTGCTACTTCCCCATTATACTGACAGCAGTCTCATAGTTACCAATCACTTATCAATCAATTTGTATTACAGAAGCAACCACTGTGGCAAACAGACTATATTACTCTAAAGAATGGGGTTTTATATTTCCTAGCAAATCCTCTGGTTTCACACTCCAAATCTGCTGCAATCTAATCCAATCTTATTTCCCAGAACTTCCCTAAAGATTTCTATGTTCCAGTTAGCTTGAATCATATCCTGTTCCTATAAAACACAAATTGAGCTATCCCGCCTCTGGACCTTTCCTTTCACCTTCCTCTTAAACTTCCCTTACCATATGTGTCAAAAATCTATTAATTTTTTAAGGTCCAACTGAATGCAACTTCATCTACAATGCCCTTCATGATTACTCAGAATGAAGGAATTCTTCTCCCTGTACTTCTAAGTACTTAGTCTGAACCAAACGTCGTATTGCTACATCCTGTTTTATATTTGTCCTAATGTGAAAGCTCCTTGAGAACATGAATAGTATTTTGTTGAATTTTGTATTTTTGTATCCAGTTTAGAAGCATTCAGTCATTAGCTCAATGTGAACTTCTGGTTCCCCCAAAACAACTTAAAATTCACTTACATATGACGAGTGAATTTGTCATAGAAATAATAAAATCAAAAAAGCTCTATTAGGTGGGAACTATTATAACTTCCATTTTATGAAAAAAAATGAGGAACAGATTAATTAACTCACAAGGTCATATAGCTAATACAGGTAGAGTGTGAATTTCAACCCAGGCAGTCTGGTTTCAATCCCACATGTTTAATCACCATGTCAATCTGTCTCTCAAAATAATATCCTAAAAAATTCCTAAAAACACAACGTGAAAAATAACATTGTGACCTTTGTGGGAGCAGTGCTGTGGAAAACCTGAAGCTTTGCTTGACCCAAGAATCATCTTTCCCTGAAGAACTGCTCTTCATGTTTTACTTACTTTAAAAACAGATTCTGAATCTCCTTAGATGGCATTTTAGGATTTTAAAAAAATAATAGTTGCATTTTTTGCAGTGCCTCTCATGAATTAGGTCCTTCCTTTCATTCAGGTTACGAGTTTGAATTGACAAAAACTGAATATAATAATTATCTAGTCATACATCAAGGTAAGAATAGAATCTGGAAAGTTAACGCAAATGTTTTGTCCATAAAGGGTAAAAAATAGCTAGGCAGCCAATATTTCACCTCAAACATTAACAGTTTTAGGTTTTTCCCTCTACTCTTTCTGGAATAAAAAATACATATATTTTACATCCATCCCCTTAACCCATACTCCAATTCCACCTCCAAACTCCATACAAACAAACCAAAGCATCAAATCTCTTTTCTCCATAGATCTTACAGCCTTTTCTGCTGTAGCACTCAAGACTTTCTATTTTGTACTGCATTTATACACATTTACATTTTTGTCTCCCCTTTCTAGCCCAAGTTATTTAATGGTGAAGTCTACAAATGATTAATATTTGCAATCCTCACATTGTATACCCACACAAATTTTTTAACAAATAAAACAGGTATATAAGGCCAGGTGTGGTGGCTCATGCCTGTAATCCCAGCACTTTGGGAAGCCAAGGTAGGCTGATCACAACAAGGTCAAGAGATTGAGATCATCCTGGCCAACATGGTGAAACCCTGTCTCTACTAAAAATACAAAAATTAGCTGGGCATGGTGGCACATGCTTGTAGTCCCAACTACTCTTGAGGCTGAGGCAGGAGAATCGCTGGAACCCAGGAGGCAGAGGTTGCAGTGAGCAGAGATTGCGCCACCGCATTCCAGCCTGGCAACAGAAAAAGAGGGAGGGGGAGGAGGAGGGGAAGGGGAAGGGGAGGAAAGAACGAAAGATATATGATAATAAGAAAACACTACCAATGCCATTAGCCAATACATGGAACAAAGAAAGAAGTTTCCAGGGGAAGATACAAAGTTCTCACCTCATTCTGACTGACGCCAGGCTAGAATGCAATGGTGTGATCTCAGCTCACACAACCTCCACCTCCCGGGCTCAAGCGATTCCCCTGCCTCAGCCTCCCGAGTAGTTGGGATTATATGCACGTGCCACCATGCCCGGCTAATTTTTTGTATTTTAGTAGAGATGGAGTTTCACCATGTTGGCCAGGATGATCTTGATCTCCTGACCTCATGATCCGCCCGCCTCAGCCTCCCAAAGTGCTGGGATTACAGGCGTGAGCCACCATGACCGGCCATTATGCTGTGTTTGAAAATCTATGTAGATGTTTAGGTCATCATCTAGAAATGTTCTACTCCAGAAATATTATATTCTAGAGCTAGATACAAAGATTTAGGAATCATCCAATTTCTGTAATTCTTTACAGGGAACTCTCTCTGCTTACTGCCGTCAGCATCCATCAGGATCTCTGAGAGAGCAAATTCTCGGTCAAAGCCGTCTTTGCGTCAAGCTCTGTTAAGAGGAAACGGTCTCTTGGGAAGCTAAGGGAGACATAAGGGCCTGTATCTGTGAGGCACAGAACTGGGACATCTCTTTATTTTAATACATATGGAATGGCTTATGCAATTATGAGCTGACAACTCTCCTGATCTGCACTTGGCAAGCTTGAGACAAAGGAGAGCCAATGACATAGTTGCAAAACTCAGGAAGGGCCAATGCTTCCGTTTTAGTCCAAAGGCAGGAAAAAAATTGATGATCCAGCTTAAAGGCAGTCAGGCAGGAGGAGTTTCTCCCTTACTCTTGGGAGGGTCATTCTTTAGGCCTTCAACTAATTGGATGAGGCCCATTCACATTAAGCAGGGAATTTGCTTTACATAGCTGACCAATTCAAACATAAATCTGACCCAAAAACGCCCTCATAGACATAGGCAGAATAATGCCTGATCAGATATCTGGACACCCCATAGCCTAGTCAAGCTGACACATAAAATTAACCATCACAGCATCTCAATCATAGACAGCCAAGGAGTCACATCACTACAAGAGTCTAGATCAGTAGCTTCCAATCTAAGTACATTGGAGCCCCAAGAATAAAGCACTGACCAAGGGAAAAC